GGATATTGAAACCTTAAAAAATTAAAACAGCAAACGCTATGAGAGAAAGTGATAATGAACAACGGAACAGCTATTTAAAAATTATAATTTTAAATTTTAAAAAGTTTGGAAAATTGCAAGTCTAGCGTTTACTACCTAGAAAATTACTTCCAATATTAGTGAATTTCAAGTTATCGTTCTTGATTTATGACTTAATTTGTCGCTTGAGGGCGCTCCGTTGTTAAGTACGCTGATGCCGAACAAACAGAATCAAATTGATTAAACATCGAATTTGGCATTTTATTTTGGTTTAATTAATCTACTGAAAATTAAGGAATGTCTAACTTCAAACTAAACATCTTTTTTTTGAAATCTAGCGATACGGTGGGTGTCAAATTTGATCGGGTTCAGGTTGCTCGAAACTTGTCTGTTGTCATATGCGGATTTGGGCAGGATTATTATAGTTTTACAGTTTGGCTGCGTTATCAAAGATGCACAAGAGTTTATAACAGACTTCAAAGAAAATTGGTCTTCGCGTTACACAACGCACTTTAAATAATCGTTGCCAAACAGCAGTTTTATTGAAACTCTCAATCATAAAGTCGTGTTGGCGAGGAAATGCGGACTTATTCGAGTCATGCGACACTCGATTTGAGAACAACAACATAGCCTATGTAACACTTGATTGTGGTTATTTCAAGACACAATTATATATCTAACATTAATGGATTTATTTCCCGAAATCCTGCTGAAATATGGAAATTATCTTCTCACAAAAAAGGAGTTCATGTGATGCAACATGTGCAAGTAAGTAGTTTTTTAAGCTAACAGTGAGGAAAACCCTTTTGATGTCCACCAAAAATAATAAGCAAGTTTTTTTTTCCATTAAGCTTTAAGTGCCTTAATTTTTGGTCTTTTTCAAAATTATTTCAAAGTTGGGTTGTAATTTTTTTTCTTCTCGGAATTCCTTCCTATGAATTAGGCGAACCCCATTTTATAAAATGGGTATAGATATTTATTTTATTTTAACTACCAGTTGAAAAAAATATCTTGCTGAACACTTTAAAAATGTTTTTTAGAGATAAGTTATTAAATTGTTTCATAATATTAAATTTTATGCTTATTCAGAGTTTAAAATACTGGGTAATATGCCACTGCATTTAATTTTTCAGACAAGTTCAAGTTGCAGAAGAGTTCTTTGGTCTTCTCAAACAGTCGAGGTTTTCTTCTGTCCAAATTTCAAAATTTAGTGAAAAATGAGGAAACAAACTTTATGAATGAAAGAATTTTCGAAAATCACATTGAGCAGTGAATCTGGTGCCTTTTGTTGTGTTTAACCATCATAAAAGCTAGTGACAGTATAGTGTAGGTAGAACTTTAGTCCGACATTGCTCATTAACTTATGTAAACAAAGGGAATAGCATACCAGTTGAGATTTAGAGTGGCAAGTACTATATGAGAAAACAACAGAAACCATCCAAAAGTAGATGCACCACAAGTCCATATATTAAATTGATCAAGTTCAGAATTTTGAATGTGCATGTCTGCTTGAAAAGTACTGTAGTTTAAAAAGCATTTTTTTATAGCATGGGATGGAATGATGATTATAAAGAACTGATATTGTAATAATTTTTCTTCTACAATTTTCATCTTTGTATAATGTACAATGTAATTTATAAATTGTTAACATTTAATAAACATGTGAAACCTTTTTGCAAATTGGTCATTGTTGATTTCTTAAGAATAAACTTGGAAATTTTCATATTAAAACATTTAGTTTAGTATGTTGAACAACATGACGTATTTGTTAAATATGCAATTTAAAAATATCATATTGTTGCTCATATAATGGTTCAGTAAATCAAATGTTGCAGCCGCATCATTTTCTGCAGTTGAACAAAATCCTTTATATTCCTTTCATATACATGTAATTTGATTTAGAGGGAGTCAAAGAACTTAATGAATTTGTAATTTTATCTATAAATGTTGAGAGTTTTAGGACATTGCTAGCAGAGACCAACATACACTGACTTGTTTATACATAATAATTATGTCTTCATGTGGCATAATGTATTCTCTGTTGTTATAAGTTAGTATTTGAAAAACAGTAAAAGCTGAAAAAATGAAAGAAAAAAATGCTTATATAAGAAGAACCACCCAGATAGATAGTGATTGGTCATCATGTTTACTACATGAAAAAAAGTAATACAGGAAACCGGATGCACCTGCTTAGTTTTAACAACTGTTTAAAATAAAAACAGAAAAAAATTTGGAATCATCAAAGTTGGGTACTTAATATACAGAATTTCGATCCCAATCATAATTCTCTCCAAAACTATTTTAGAGAAATAAAATCAATTCCAGAGTAAACTTGGTACATTGAATAGAAAAATTCATAATAATGTGATAAATGTAATTAAGAAACAATTCAATAAAATTTAAATTTTACACACAATGCACTTAGATTTAGGAAAAAATCTTGTCAAACTTCAAGCAATTTATCAAAATTTCTCAATAGTTTTCCTTTTCATTAAAAACTGCTATTTGATTTTTCCACACTTTTTAAACTGGAAAACTAATAATGAGCAGTTGTTTTATTTTTCCATGTGTAATAACCTACATAATGTGTTTGCTGTTTTTAATAAATGTGGATAGAGAGAATGTAAAAATTATCGTCAGGAAGCGTTTACCTTCCACAGGAGGAAGAAACACACCTGAGGATGCTTTTGATGAGCTAATGGGCCCAATCATAGATAAACTCTACCAAGATGTCGATAGCTATCCTAAATCAATAGTGTATACTAAGCTAAGGTGGTCACACGAGTGTTCATTATGACAAGACCTTTCCATTGGTAAATAAATGTTTGATCATGTGACCTCAACTGTGACCTTTGACCTACATTTGAAAAACTTTCACACCGGCCATAACTATTGCACTATAGTCTACGTCCCACTTAAGAATTGTGTTATCATCGGGGGCATAGTGTTTCACAAACACATCTTGTTAACATATTATTTAGTCCATTTGGGTCGCTTTTTGGATAAATCAACGCACCTTCGTTAGATGCCGTTCATGTGTCACATGTAGATTTGACGGATTACAGAAAGTTTGGAAGCAACCACAAAAATTTCAGAGGAAATGTGCGTAAAGCTTGGTCGTGCATCATCCTTAGATAATTACATGCAGAGAGGGTTTAATTTTTTTTTCAATACACATTTTACAAGCTCAGTGTGAAGGAAACCGTTAGTTTAATGTAAAAAGTTGTCTGCGACCGTTCAGTGTATTCAGCTTAGATCCAGTTGGGTTTACTTTTCGAATAAATCATGTACGTTCTACTTTTTACACGCGAATGCTGATAAAAGATAGCTGGTACAGAGAATATTTCGATTGACCATTCGATTTATTGTCCAATTCGAGGTATAATAGTAATATACTTATGCAGCAATATACCTTCATCACCTGCATACGGGGTATATATCTCTCAGCTGATTCGATACGCAAGAGCATGCTCTACGTATGTACAATTTCTAAAACGATGTAAATTATTGACAAATAAGTTGATGAGACAAGAATATCAGCTGTCTCGTTTAAAGTCATCATTTCGTAAGTTCTATGGTCGATACAATGACCTTGTCAGCAAATACAATTTATCATTGAGTCAAATGCTGACTGACGTTTTTCATACTAATTGTTAAGCCATTATTTACACAATGAATTGTCGACGAATTTTTCCGTTATTTCCCGATCATGACAAGGAGCACACGGCGGGTGTGACCGGTCGGCAGGGGATGCTCACTCCACCATGGCACCTGATCCCACCTCTGATGTTTGGAGGTCCGTGTTTGCTCTGCTTCTATTTTGTATTGTTTTATGGACTTTTGAGCTTGAATAATGTTCGTTATCACCATATATTTCCTAAAGACATTCTATTCGTTTCACCCAATGACAACAAGAGAATTCTTTTTAATTTTGAAGTTTTTTTATTACATCTTTCAAACAAAAGCCTTTACTTTCTTTTACAAAAGCATTAAATGACACTTGGTTTTTATGTATTACATTTCATAATGAAGCATTTTAGCAACAAAAGTAACTGTGATTAGGAACCAAACAAACTTCCATTTTAAGCTTTGTTCATTACCGTAATATTTTTTAGCTATAGTGTATTTTGTTAATTTTTAGGGAAAATCTTCCAGCTTTGCCAGAAAAGACTCAAAGAGCACAGGTAGTTAATGCATCAATTATATGATTTACCAGTACATCTTAGTGTCTTTATACAGTACAAGTTTTACAGTATAAGTTATACAGTACAGGCAAAAAGCAATTTTCATATACATGCAATACCCATGCATACTTCTGTAATTTTAACATGAGAACATTATGGGATGTTTTTATGCCCCTGTAAACGAAATTTGGGGGGTATATAGTTTTGCCCTGTCTTTCCTTCTGTCTGTCTGTCTGCAAAAAAAATTAACCTTGCCCATAACTTTTCAGTGGGTTTGGCTATGGCTTTCATATTTCACAAATATATACCTTGTAACCTCTTGATCTTGGAGTTTGATACACTTTTACAAAAAATAAATACCATGCCTTCACCTTGGCCATGACTTTTGAACAGTTGGAGCTAGGGCTTTCATACTTCACAGGTGTATTCATTGTGACCAGTTTTACAAAAGGACTTACGACTTAAGTCCAAATTTAATTCATGTAACTTTTTATTAACAGTATGTCGAAAAATTTTTTAACCTTTTTAAAAGGATTGTGAAAAGATATTTTTACACAATTTCAAAAAGAATTATCAATTTTGCAAAATTTTACAATCGTCTGAAGTTTTTGGTCTTAGTATTAAGTTCTTTTGTAAAACGGGCCCCAGACCCTTAAGTAGGTTATAAATATTTTTCACCTTTTGACACTGACCTTAGAATTTGGCCCACAATCATTTTATTGTTTAAATTGAATAAAAAGGTATTTTAAAATTCTTTTGCCATTTAGATTAGGCTTATATAATAAGAAAAATAAATGTTCATCCATCTGTTGTTTCTTGTAGGCGGCCTGTTTTACAGAAAAGATAAATGTTGATGTAAGGACTGTAGATGAAGAAATTTGTTAATGATCTTCAAATCAAGTTATTCCTTAATTGTAAAATCAGGCTTAAATCACTTTCATTTCTTCTGATGTTATTTTCCTAGGAGCCATGTCTGGCAGAAAGAGAAGACAAGATGGATGTTGAAGTAGGAAAAAATATATTTTAAAAAAACTATTATCCATTTAAACCAAGTGTTTTTAAATTAATTCAATTGTTGTCTAAGTTCAAATACTAAAGGAATATGTAATCTTGGAAAATATAAATGTTTTGCAAACAGAGTAAGAAATGAATTGTTGGAATTATAAAATTTAATGCTTTATTCATTCATACTTAACACTATGCATTATTTATGCTGTTCATATGTATTGTTCTACTGTGTAATATGTATAATGCATTTATACCTATGAGATTTATGTTTCTTGGTTTTAATAATATTTTAAATCTGAAGTATATGACCTATAAATTAAGATTGTTGTTTATAATCTTTAAATGGAATTTATTTTTTGACAGGAATAGCTAATTATTGAAGATTTTAATTGGTGGAACGTTAATTCTGTTTTTTTTTTCGCTAGGAGCCCGTTTCTGAAGATCCCAGGACTGAAAAGGGGGAATATGTTGATGTAAGTGAATATATAATGTAGTTATACCTAGCCTTAGGAGATTTATGTCTTTTGGTTTTAATAAAATCTAAAATGTTATGATTTTTATCCTCCTTTGTAACTAGCGGTTCTTTCTTATTGTAGAACCCCTCGCACAGCTGCACAGAGGATACAGGTATTGAAATGTCAATCTCCTGTGTACTGTAAAATCACTAATTTTCCTGAGGGTTTAATTTTCGTGGTTTTCAAGGTATGAAGAGACCCACGAATTTATGTTCACCATGAAATGCAATTTTTCACATATATTAGTACTGAAGAATTCCTCAACTACGAAATCAAATCCCCATGAACCAATATATTTTCCTCAAACCACGAAAATTTGACCCCTCGAAAATATGTGATTTTACAGTATTATTCCTAAAAGTACTAACAAAAGATTCCTACCTCTTTAATTGCTATTCATTTTTCAGATCCCTCTTTAATTATAAAGACAATCTTGGGTTCTGCACCAAGAGGTGTGCCCAGAATCAAGCCTGGGACACGATACCATGTGTGTGGGGAAGTCCTCGACTTCAATACCCTTAAGAACCAAAATTGGTTAAATGATAAGGTATTTAAAAGATATCATTTAGAAGACTTTAATATTATTGTTAGGTTCACTTTTTTCCCTGCCTGAGGTTTACATTTTACAGAATTTTCAAAACTACTGTAGAATCATCATTGTTTTTGGGAGATCAATGTTCGTGGATTTCGTAGGTCACCCTTACCCACGAATTTACATCCCCACAAACCTTTATTGTGTTAACATATTGATTCATTTAACCATAATATTTAAAGTAACCCACGAACAGGAAAAATTTTGCTTTCACACAAACATTGACCCCCACAAATTAAAATTATTCCACAGTATTTCATATTGTGTACTAAAGGAATTATCAATAAGAGAAAGACGAATTGCATATAGGTGATAAGTGTAGATGGCCATGGGTCTTTATGTTATGTCATGAATATTTGTTTGAACGTAATTAGAATGCAAGCCTTATTTATATTTTTTTGTAGGTTATTGATGCATACCTGTCTTTGCTAATGTTGACTCAAAATAAGAAGGATTCACATCACATATTTGTGATGCCTTCTTATTTGGCAGTTCTCTGGGAAATTGGCAGGTTCGATACTTGGTTGTATCAAAAGGTAAATTCTGCATTTTGAATGGTTAAATGAATTACAAAGCGTTAAATGTTTAGGCCAAAAAAAAATTTCTTTGTTCTCAGGCCCTCCCGAGGGTGCCTCATTGACCTTTTTTATTGCTAAATCAATAAAAAAAAAACAACAAATCACCTCCCTCATCATTTTTTTAGGTTTCGTACAATGTAAAAAGCTGCCTCATCATGTTTTGGGGGCAATAAAAAGTAAAAAAAAAAATGCCTCCCTCCCTCATCATTTTTTAAAAAAAAAAGGCATGAGAACCAAGAAATTAACTTTGCATGGCCTTAAATTGATTGTGTAGATTATATTTTCTCATTAAGTAGCAACATTTCCTATTTTCTGCAGTTCCTCAATCTACGTGTTCAATTTCAAAGTGTCAAAGGAAAAAAATATAATATACTAGTACTTTCTTCCCGTAATTTAAGCATAAAATTTATTGACTTGCACTTGTGGTTTCTCCAATGCAAGTTGTCTACAGCAAAAGTAGTATTTTGAACAAATAAAGGGTCTCTGTTCAAGAAGTATGCATGCAGATTGCAGACATTATCATATATCACAACAGAAGGTGCTGTTAATAAAAAACAGAATTTTTGGTGATAAATAAGGTAAGAGTGAAATATCATCTTCACTAGAATTGTAAACTAGTTTATATACACAACAAAAGCTTCAATCACCTATTGCATATGAATTACCCAGTAAATGTTTGGGGGAAAAAACAATCTTGATTCTAGATTTTTTAATTCTACTTCCTCTGCCTTTCTTCATGGTATTAAATCTAAATATGTCAATCTCAATAAATACACCTACACACCTGTTAAAAACCTCGTTCTTATGAAGGTAAATGGAACATTGGGTGACTCGTTGTTCTCCATTATCTGGAATCCATAGCAAATTCCTTTAAAAAGATAAAATAAAAAAAATAAAGGTTACGTAATAAACAAAAGCTATATTCAGTCAATGCCCTAATAAAGCCTCATGCATGTATTCTAATATTCTAAAAACATTGTGATGTCATATACATTGCAAAGTTTTGACCATGGAGCCATAATGGAGTTTCAATGGCAGCGATGTGCTTAAGTCTGTTGAAAAAAGCTTGTTCTGGACTTCAAATGTAAAACAAGAGGTAAATGGGCTATATCGCTTAATTGAGTAACTTTTGCCACGCTGATCTTCACCAGATTTCCTCCCTGTAAAACCTATTGTGACCCCATCCTACCACCTGGGGCCATGATTTAGAGAAATTATAATCTACACTGCCCCAGGACGCCTCCACTTAAGTTTCATCTTTTCTAAATCAGTGATTTTTGAGGAGACGGTTTTTTAATTACCCCACCCTACTTTTGCCTTTTCTTGATTACCTCCCCCTTGCAAGGTGACTAGACCCTTCATTTTGTCAATTTAAACTCCCCTTCATTTAAGGATACTTTGTACTAAGTTTGGTTAAAATTGGTCCAGTGGTTATTGAGAAGAAGTTGAAAATGTGAAAAGTTTACAGACGGACAGGTGGAGGGACTGACAGACAGCTAGACAGATGACGGACAATGGGTGATCAGAAAGCTCACTTGAGCCTTCATCTTAGGTGAGATAAAAATATTACAGGATAAACATAATGCATGATAACTATGTTGAAATATAAACAATATTTGGGCTTGGGTCAAAAATATGAAGATGGGCTCAGCAAATAACGCCCTCTACCATGCTGTCTTTTCCTTGCCCAAATATGAATTATATTTCAAAACCATGTTTTATATATATTTACATCCACTGAATATTTTTTCATTTCGTAAGAAAACCATTGCAGTTTATCAGTACATGAACAAGACTAAGCATATCACCTGTACAAATTTATTCATCAGTGGCTGTTCAATAATACAATAATTAATCTTTTTATCATACTTTAAATGATATAAATATAAGTAATAAAATGTCTTTCTTTGGTTGTTAGTAAGGGAATTAACGTCGTAGCTAATGCAGAAAACATTTTAGGCTTTTTTCCGCAACAGCTGCGAAAACAATTTCCTTCCTAACAGCCAAAGAGAGCATTTTATTGTTTTAATATAAGTAGTTATGCAGATTTAGTGCCATGTTCATTTGTATAATAAGACCATGTCTTGAAGTCATATCCTGCTTTGTGTCTACCTTTAAAGTATATCCATCTTTTAGAGACAGAGATGATCTTTGCAATAAATATAACCACTGCATATTTTTCTTAATTCATTTTATATGTCTCACTACAGGGATAACAAATAAAATTAAACACTCCCTACATCCAAGTTAAAAATTAAAACAAGATGTGTTTGTGAAACACTATGCACCCGGCGGCAACAAAGTTCGAAAAAGCTATTTTTAGCATATAAGTCACAGTCAAGGTCACAAGGTCATTGACCTTTGTGTCATTTGAAAGAAATGAATGAGTGGAGTATGCATACCAAATATGAAGTCTCTCTCTTTCCGGTTATAAGAGAGAAACTATGTTATTGGGATTTTTAACATTCCCAAAATTATCACTTGTTGATAAAGTTTTTGAAATGATTTTTACATATGTTATTGAGACTGCAATTGTCTAGTGTGAAGTCAACCATCTTAGGAAAATGCACTTCCGGTCGCGTGTTTTTCTGTCCTCAAGTTGAGATTTTGTTCACCTAAATGCTAAAAAACACTACATGACTGAAGTCAAAAACTTTCAGAACTTATAGTTAATACAGTATCTACATCATATAAAAATCGTGTCGTCACTTCCGGTCGTGACAGAAAGCGATGCAAAAAAAGTGAATTTTTAAAGTTTTTTTCTTTTTGCAGAAATGTTTGGCTAATGCAGATGTTAAATATACCATGACCATGCAAATTATTTTTATACATTTTATTCGTTTGGAGCACTTTCGTTCATGACAAAGTACATAAAGAAAACAGAAAAGTAATTCCGTTTGTTTTTTTCTGTATCTACATATCTTTGGAAGCCTTGAGATAACTTTTGTTATTATTTAGAGTAATCTTATTGAGATGATTGTGAGGTTTTTTTCAAAGAAGTCAAGACAACGGAAGACCTGTTATTGCCTAGGCAATAAGTATCTAGTTAATCTTTTTATCATACTCTAAATGATTATTTATATACTAGATATAAATATAGTCAATAAAATGTCTTTCTTTGGTTGTTAGTAGGGGAATTAACGCCGTAGCTAATGCAGAAAACATTTTAGGCTTTTTTCCGCAACAGCTGCGAAATTAATTTCCTTCCTAACAGCCAAAGAGAGCATTTTATTGTTTAAATATAAGTAGTTATGCAGTTTTAGTGCCATGTTCATTTGTATAATAAGACCATGTCTTTAAGTCATATCCTGCTTTGTGCTTTAAAGTATATCCATCTTTTAGAGACAGAGATGATCTTTGCAATAAATATAACCACTGCATATTTTTCTTAATTCATTTTATATGTCTCACTACAGGGATAACAAATAAAATTAAACACTCCCTACATCCAAGTTAAAAATTAAAACAAGATGTGTTTGTGAAACATTATGCACCCGGCGGCAACAAAGTTCGAAAAAGCTATTTTTAGCATATAAGTCACAGTCAAGGTCACAAGGTCATTGACCTTTGTGTCATTTGAAAGAAATGAATGAGTGGAGTATGCATACCAAATATGAAGTCTCTCTCTCTCATGGTTCAAAAGTTATAGTGAAGGTTAAAGTTGACAACAGACAGACTGGACAAAAACAACATGCGCCCCCGATCTATCGATCCGGGCGCATAAAAATGTTAAATGACACTCTTTATCACAAAGAAGTGGTTCTGGGGAAAAGAACTCATTATAAAGTAACAACTTTAATTACAAATTGTTCTTTTAAATGGTACATACCATGTTGACAAAAGACAGTGAAAATCCCTGGCAGTAATGTTGGGTGTTTGGTTGAATCTTTCCTACAGCTTTCAGCATTAAACTTTCCTTTGTCTGCTGCATACCTTCCCCTCTGACGGATCGGTTCAAGCTTTGGGAAAAAGGCAATCTGAGCGGCATTGTCTAACTCCTCCTTTGTCACAGGATCTTCAGTCTTTGGATTATGAAACTGGTCTGATGTATTTGGATTAGGAAATGTAGCTTTGGATTTGGCAAATACTTTGGAAATTATCTCTTTATACTCTGAAGAAATTTCAAATGACACAGATCTTAGTATTTCAAAAAGTAAAGGAATGTTAATTTGAATACTGTTCAGAAGTTCTGCATCCCTTGATATGTCTTTTGGAGACTCAAAAATCTTAGAAAGGATCTTTTCATTAACTGTATTGTATGGAATAAGAGCACATGCAGGTGATGGACTGGCCAGAAGCTCTAACAGGGGACGATGCTCTGGGGGCAGCTTTCAAAACATCCAATGTTTTCCATTATGTTGAGAAGAGGACCTAATGGAGGAAAACAACTGCTGATGCTTTTCTTCATAGAGGTAAAATCAGCTTCACACAGGGGTGGTACTCCCAAACAGTACTGCATTAAACTTTGTCTGTATTTCTTCTTCTTTATTACCACTCTCCCTTTGTGACTAGTATTGAAGAGAAGACACAAATATATTTTTCATTTACACACAACAAGATTGCCACTTTTCCTAAGTATTAAGAATAAAATTAAAATTTGTGAAAGTGCAAGGATGTGTCAATCAAACCCGACTGAAGTTTTACTAACTTTTAGATGAAATAAGATTTTTAATATATTTTTGTGTGCAATGCTTAAAATATATAAGTCGTATTATGATATAGTCTATTTATATTCCCTATATAATCTATACAAGCGCAAACAGTTCATAACACTACATATTCACCGGAGATTCAGGGCGCATGCAGCGGCATTGTGACGTCATAATCAACATCTCAAACAACGTTGTAAACAATGGTTGCAACGGCTGCAGCCAGCTTAGTTTCAGAGCAGGGAAAAAAAAACTATCACAGAATTATTCTTAAAGATTGGACGTCTTACACAAAGTGAAACTCGGAAAGGAAAACACGGAAGTTACAAATTGTAATCTGGACATTTTCTTTTTTTGATTTTCAACGACGGAAGTTTGTAAATGAAAGTGGCGTCGTCAGCCTTCAATGTCTTATTTATTCAAATTCAAACTATATAATAAAACAATTATGGACTCTTTTGATGTTGAATATGGTTTGTTATTCACCAGAAAAATATCAATATTGACCTCGGCTTAGATTGGGGAGAAATAACTTTTGGAAAAATTAACACATTCAATTGGGAAAAAAGGTACCTTTTTTGAATTGGTAATGGGGCCCATACACGGCCCCAATTATAGAGAATCGAGAGCCCTGGTGATATAGATATTTGAACCATTAAATAACCATCCACCACTGCAAATCAAATCACAGAAAAAGAGACATTTCTACTGTAAACCAACTTTCATTCGCGTGGGAGAAATATCCGCAAATTTCGTGACCTCCATTAACTCGCAAATATTAATGAATGTGAACCAATTATTTTAATTGGTATTTGTAGAGAATGTTTCTTGTCATGAAAATTAAATGCCGCGGATTGATTTCAAACTGAGAGATAGCGATATAAAACATGATGCAAGTAATAAATTGTTTAAAGTATTCTATTGCATCTACAGCATTACAAACTGACTTTCCATAAAAATGAAATTGTAGTCTACTCCACTTATACCTTCAAGGATTAATACCGGTATTTATCTCTGTGCTTGACATTTATTAGATAATTATCTTCCTTCCATCAAAGTTGTGGTCTTTTCAGCTCCATTAAAGCTTTCCCACTGAACAAAATATTTGCGAAAAGACAAGCTGGTGTTATCACAGACTATGGTGCTTTGTGATGGGCCACAGATGTCACACTGGAATCCCAGGTCATAGTTGATGTCAAGTAAAGCGAGATATGAGTACCACGCATGTCTAAATTTGACATACGACATTCCATCTGCATTGATACCATATCTGCTAGTTCCTCCATCCAAATGTTGAACTAAGCATAGAGAGTGCATCTGTAACAAAAAATACACTAATCTATTAAATATACAATTTAATCATCTTAAAAAAATCTTAAAAGGAATGGACGTTTTGCTTGGTTACAAATGTAACTTATTACAATGATCACTATATTTTACCAGTGAGACCTGTTTACCCTTATCGTTTGATTAGATTTGTCCGTGAGATTTGGCATTTGCCAGTAAGATTTCATTTTCCATCGATTTTGCTTTTCTGATTGCTAAAATATGCGAAGCACTTTTATGTAAAGTTTGTGAGTACAAAGGCATGAGTTTACACATCGATAAATTCTGAAAAAAGAACGTTTAATTCTTATAATTCCAATTACGAAGTTTTATAATTACTTCTCTTTGGAGCCTCCATACAAACTGTTATTTCTGTACAGCGTAGGAATACTTCATGCCGCGATGTGGAAATGAATCGCAATCGAGATGAACGTCTAGAAAGTTCAACTTTAATTGTCAAAACATTTAATAAAATAAGCTTATAAAAACTCTTCGAATATTGTTTAAGTCAACAAATATCGTAAATACAAGTAGACTTCAAAAATAAGTCCTTGAACATGTTGACATAACGACCGACGCTCTAAAACGAAAGAAGCAGACCGACGACAACCTTGATTTGCTCTGGTTTGTTCAAAGACGGGACAGAATATAGGGTGTAGAAAAATGAATTTGATGCTAATAAGGCAAGAGTCTAAGGTACGTTTCTCTTTCCTATCACAGCGCTACCGAGAACTGAGCTGATTTGTTTTGTAGGAACGTCGCGAATATTTCAGAGATTTAAAATTCACACTCGTGATCTGACAGTGACATAAACATAATATTCCCGTCTGTCAGTCCTGTATGTCGTCAGTTTTGTTTTTATTTAATTTCAAGTTTCTGTAATTGTTTAGCTAAAACACAGAATAGAAGTAACGATTTGTTTCATTTTTTTTACAATAAAAGCTATGTCAAGAAAGTAGTTCTGACTGAGAATTTATCGATGTGTAAGCTTTTTCGTCAGTTTTGTTTTTATTTAATTTCAAGTTTCTGTAATTGTTAAGCTAAAACACAGAATAGAAGTAACGATTTGTTTCATTTTTTTTTTACAATAAAAGCTATGTCAAGAAAGTAGTTCTGATTGAGAATTTATCGATGTGTAAACTTTTTCTTGAATTTGTTCTCGTCCAATCAAAACACAGGAAATCAATAAATAAAATTAAGATTGGAATTATTATCATGTAATTTCGCTAGATGCATCACTCGCAAAATAAGATTACTCGCTTTTATTGATATGGTGCTGAAATCCAAGTCAATTCTCTTGATCATCCGTCCACTCGCGAATACATATTCTCTCTATTTGACGTTTAAGAGCCATTTTGCGATAATTACATGTACTCATGAAAAATAAGGAATTTACAGTATTCTACTCAATACATTACATTCTCATCATGAAAGGTTTCATAAATAGACATAAAAAAGAATACAGTAATACATGCTTATAAAGGAGTGCCAGAGAGGGAGGATTTTGGTTTGTTACAAGCATGTTTTACTATGTGTTTAACAGGTCGAGACCACTACCTTATATGGAAGGCAATTTTCAACACGTGACGATGCCTTCGTCACACTCCTTCTCCAATCAAGTGAATGAGTCCCAAAGCATGACAGTCTACTATGTGTTTACGGTTCAATGGCGACACGTGGTTTTCGTCGGTTTACTGCATAATATTTAACTCGTCACCGGAAAAACTGTAGAGTTTCTTTATCACTTTATAAGACCAAAATTGAAAGATTATATTCTAAAGGCATTGATCCATGCTCACATTTAATATTGGAGTTGTTTTAGATGATTAATAGTTGCTTCGAATACCGTACAAACGCTTTGACATTTGCATGTACATAAAACACTTTTTGATAATATTGAGGGGTTAAATAATAATTGCACACCTTCTCCTGTTGTCTAAAACCAAGGACCTATATACTACCTGCTAAAACTATGTACACGTATATCACGTGAAAAAAACTCAATGTTTTATCGACACGATAGCACCTACGTCTCTTTGAACAATGGGGTTAGGCCGATGTATTATAAGTTGATATAAGGCTTCATAAAGCAAATTTTGTAAATGTGAGCATAGAAATGAAGGATTATATATCATTTTAAATATTTCTTTCACAAATCTCAAAAAAAAAAATCGAAAATAAGTTTCCTAGGGACAATTCAAGTTGCTCTTTTTTTAACACAGCTGGGTACTTGTAGTAGCCCACAATGCATTGCGGCTCATTCAGCAGTAGGTAAAGTAAACAGATAGCTAATTTACATGCAAATTTATGCTGACGTCAGAAAATCTAGTGGTCACGACCTGTTTAAGAGATAGTGTCAATTAGTTTAATGAAAAGGATACATGTACTGACCTGAGAAGTACACATCTGGGGAAATATCATCAAAGTCATCAGCGAACTTTTCAACCATTTTTACATGCATACACCTCGTTTCTGAGAAGTCTGAAAATTTAAAAATGAAGTGTTTCATTCAGGTACAAATTTCTATTATATATATATTACATGATACACAATGAAATGGGCTGGTACAATTCAACGCGGACGGCCGAGAAAACATTGGATTGAAATTCTGGTTTGAAATTCATTTCCAATCCACCTCAGCTACGCTAGAAGGCACCTTAGTACTGATTGACCCAGAAGATAAATATCAATTTCGGTATAGTTTGAAAATAATATATAAATCAGAATTTTCTGTCCAGCGTTTTAAAGAAATATGTGAATGGACAAATATTTGATTTCTGTATAATTTATGTATGTGTGCGGGGTGGGGGGTGGGGGTGTGTTAAGGATCTTGGAAATAAATAAGTTGTCAAACATTTTTCATTGAAGACAAAACTAAACGAGAACTTTCCAATAGGGACAAATACCCCCCGCTGGGTTTTTCAGAGAAGGTGCCAATTCACAGACTTTATGGATCTAAGAGGTGTTCACAATTTTCTTACAAAAAATTGCAGTGAAAATGAATTTCAAACTAGAATTGCAATCCAGTGTTTTCACGGCCGTCCGCGTCGAATTGTACCCGCCCATTTCATTGTCTATCATTAAATGTTTTGATTTTAACAGATAGAAATGAAGTAAGCTGCATATTTCCAATCTTGCCAGTTAATGTTCCATGGTCTTAAATCCAGTTAAATAATAGTTAAAATACCATATAATCCCTATTAACCGCCTCAGGTGCTTAGAAAATTGCGAGAAGGGGGCAATTCTTTTGGTATTCTCTTTGTAATATATCACATCTTAGCTTCAAAAAATATTTTGAAAAAAAAACATAAATTCAAAGAATTTCCAATATAATGTCCAACTTTACTTTAAATGAAGATATGCTTAATGAATCATTTTCCAACAAGAAATCGGATAGTAAACAAGTTTCATTTTTTTTGCAGAATTTTGATACGATTCTAGATAATTTTAATCACTGTACTGAGGACCTTTATTTCCTGACAATTGGAAAAGACCGGGGGGGGGGGGGTTATAGGGGAAGGAGCGGTTAATAGGGATTTAACAGTATAACATATTTAACCTTTAGATGAAGTAAGTAGATTTGCAGACAATGCATCCACAAATTCTGCATGAACTGGATTACAGGAGCAGAAGCAAATCCATCGAGTGTCTCCTTCAAATCTGACTGCTTTCCTTCTAACAGTTTGTATCTGATGCTTCTGAAAAATCAATCTTCATTATGAAATTCTCAAATTTATGGGGAATTCTCAAAAATACTTTCCATATGGTGGATTATTTCTGACAAGTTGACATAAAGATCTGACAAATCAACATAAAGATCTGACAAATCAACATAAACATATATTGTATGACAAGTGGATGCAGAAAAATGTCTCGGACAAATATATTTTTTGATAAAGTAAGAACAAAATATCAGTATCTTCTGCTGGTTTACCAACGTTAAAAAATATATCTTTAAATGCAAGAATATTAAAGTATACCTTAAGTTCCTTTGTTGTTTCATCGAAGTCAGCCAGAGCAAATACAGTCATGCTGCCATTGCACGGACAAAAATACAGTGATTCAACAATTCCAAGACAATCAAGTTTGAAACAGTTGTCAATAGGAATACTGCAGGATGCTACAGAAACTTCTTCCATAATCGGAGGAACTTCATTTTGCTTAAAAATATATAAGCAACAACTTCTTAATGTAAATCTAATGAAAAATTCGCCTATTGTTATTTTAATTTCAATCTAATTTGAGAAAGAAAATACCATGTCTTCATTGAATGTGGACAATGGAGCTGATTTCTTGACATACTTAGCAGAACTGCTGTTTGCAGCACAAACATTGCCTTTCCTCCTTAACTTTGGTGGTATTTTATTCAAGTCATATTTTAGAAATCCTGGTGCTTGCACTTTATTGAGGGCAAGTGATGGTTTCTGCAATATATGTATATATTACTATAGTTATCCAAGTTCAATCAAGCATGTATGGGGATTTACCCCAGGTTTTATTACATACACCCTGAGTCCTAAGGGTGTATGGAATACAACCCAGGGTAAATCCCCATACACCCTTGGTAAATCCCCATACACCCTTGATTGAACCTGCATGGATAACGAATTTAGTTTTAAGTACCTATAAAAATTCCTTGTAAACATCAGAGTCTAATCAACTGTGTCTCAATTTATTGATAAGATAACGATATGTACTTTAATGCATCTTTTGGTCAAATGTCATTTGGTTTTTATCATAGAGAAAGTATGCATTGTGACGTCTCGTTTTATTTATTCCCAGCTCAAGTCGGGTGAACGGAAATTTACACTCAACTCTGTAACCAATCAAAGCTCGTGTTACACGCTACATAGGAAATAAATTTATATACACATGTACACGTAAATAAATGAATATGTCAATGGTTGTATTGATCGACCCTCTGTAAATTTCAATCTATATTAGGCATTGATGTTTACTCCAAATATTACAGTATAAAAATAATTTCAAGTCAACTAAAGGTTGTGAAATATTATTTTTGTATTGTTGTTTATTCTTTTGTTTTTCTTACCTTACTTGACATTAGGAAATGATTTGTTTTCACCATTTCCTAGTAACAAATGTCTTCAGGACTTGACTTATGTTGCCCTGTCAGATCTTTATCTTGACTTGTCAGATCTTTATGCGGACTTGTCAGAAATAATAGAAT